AACTCCTCAACAGCTCGTTGGCGCCACTCTGTCCACCCCGCCCCGTCGAGCTGGCCCCCAGACAGGAGCGCGCAGCTTCTGACATCCTTGACGAACTGGGGCACATCTGAGAGGCGTCGTGGGCCCCCCGAGGATCGGTCATCCAGAAATCCCCAAACCTCGGAGTGCAGGATGCCAGAAATCGCCCCCGAACTTCCAAGAATTCCTGACCTGGCTTCCAAACTTGGGGGTGTTGATGAGCTGCGCGACCAGGCCCCACAGGTGCATGTCCCCTGGGAAGTCTTGCACTGGTTGGGCAAGCGGCCGACTTCGCGCGCGCGCGCCCAACGACCCAGCCTACATCGCGGGGAGGCTGGCAGAAGATCTGGACCCAATAGCAAGCGCACTGGATAGAGGTCTGTCCCTTGGTGGGCCCTGGAAACGACAAGGCCGATTTTTTACCGGTTCCGTTTTGCCGTTTTTTTGCCGGTTCCGACGCCGTGTTTTGGCCGGTTCCGTCGCCGTTGTTTGACCGGTTCCGGCTCCGGTTCCCATCCTGGAGCCGTTTTTTTGTGCCGTCTCGGGTCGCCGTTTTTTTTGCCGTCTCCATTTTCAATGGGCACTTTTTTGGAAACGGTGAAAGAACGGCCCTGGCGTTTCCGGGGCCCAGGGAAGTCTGTCCCCCCGCTCCACGGGGCAGCCACCGTGGGCGCCAGTGGGCTCGACGTCCGTTGCCGCCTGCAGCCCCCCCCCAAGCCAACTCATGCCGCTCGGGGGGGCCCGGCTACTCAGACTGCTGGCCTCGTCGCGCAAACTACCTTCTACAGCGCGGCGTCCAGCGCCACGCTCTCCAGGACGATCTAGAAAACCTTCGAGAGAGCCCAAGACCATCTCATATCTAGGAGTGCCCCGATGGGGGGCCAATGATCGGGGCCGCGCGGATCTTCTGGTACACCTTGGGGACCTCAACCATCGCGCCCTTGATCTCGACGCCTGTCTGGAGCACCTCGGGCCCATGAGGTTCAGAGGGGCGGGGAAGTCGGCGGTGGCGCGCTTGGTCGTCGCGTCGAGGTTCCCGCGCAGCATGAAACTTTCCTGGCGAAGGACCCAACCATATGCAGATTGCGAGCACCGTCGTTGCGGGCATCGCCTTCGGGGAATCTCCTCGTGGGGCCATGAAGCATGCGAAGGGCGTGCCGATGTGGGGCGGGGCCGCCATGTGGGCGCTGCCACTGGCGCTTTAGGCGGAACGCACCACGGGGCCGCGAAAAGTGCGAGGGGTGCGCCGCAGTGGGGCGGGGCCGCCACTGGGGCCTTCCGTGGAGCTCCCTGTAAGGCAACGAAACAATGTAGCAAGGGGGGGCACAGCCACCAGGGCTTCCGGTGCAGCCCCCCACGAGGCCGCGAAACGCTTCGCTGGGCGGGGGGAACGCATGCGAACACCGCCATTGGGGCACCTCGGTGGAGCTCTCTATGGGGCCACGAAGCGCTGTACGGGGCACGGGAAACGCATGCGAGTGCATCCACTGGGGCCTTCGGTGGAGCTCCCTATGGGGCCGCGAAGCGCTGTGCTGGGTGGGTGGCGGATGCGGGCGACGCCACTGGGGCCATCGGTTGGGCTCCCTATGGAGCCACGAAGCGCCGTGCTGGTTGGTGTGACGCGCGCGGGCTGTGTCACTGGGGCCCTCGATGGAGCTTCCTAAGGGGCCACGAAACGCTGCGCTGGGTGGGGGGTGACACGCGGGCGGTGCCACTCGGGCCTTCGGTGGAGCTCCCAAGGGGGCCACAAACGCTCCACTGGATGGCGGGATGGCACGCGCGGGGGGTGCAACTGGGGCCATCGGCGGAGCTCCCTATGGCGCCACGAAGCGCTGTGCTGGGTGGAAGGTGGCGCGTGCGGGCGGTGCCAGTGGGGCCTTCGGTGGAGCTCCTTGCGGGGCCACGAAACGCTGTGCTCGGTGGGCGTGGCGCACGCGGGCGGCGCCACTGGGGCCTTCAGTGGAGCTTCGAACGGGGCCACGGAGCGCTGTGTCGGGTGGGCGTGACGCATGCGGGCTGTGCCACGGGGGCCTTCGGTCCACGAAGCGCCGTGCTGGGTGGGGTGACGCATGCGGGCGGTGCCGCTGAGGCCTTCTGTGGAGCTCCCTACGGGCCAAGGAGCGCAGCACTGGGTGGTGGAATCGCACGCGGGCGGTGCCACTGGGGAGGCCACGAAGCGCTGTGCTGGGACTAGCGCCTTCGGTGGGGCTCCGTATGGGGCCACGAAGCGATGTGCTGGGTGGGGGTGACGCACGCGGGCAGCGCCACTGGGGCCTTCGTGGAGCTCCCCATGGGGCCACAGAGCGCTGTGCTGGATGGGGGTGACGCATGCGGGCAGCGCCACTGGGAGCTCCCTATGGGGCCAAGGGCCAAGGAGCGCTGTACTGGGTCTGGATGCTGATTGCTTCCTATCCCTCTCCTCAGCTGGAGTCTAAGAGGGGGGGGAAGAGGGTTCGTGATTGTGCTCCTCACTTTGTGTGCGCCGTCGTGTTCACCGTCCATGCGGCTTTCACGCCGCACGTGGACGCCGCCACCCATGCCGAAATGGAATGGCAAAGAGACGCACACGGGCCCGAAGGGCACTGGCGCTGGCGCCGTCACTGTTCCTCCTCCTCCTCCTCCTCCTCCTCCTCCTCCTCCTCCTCCTCCTCCTCCTCCTCCTCCTCCTCGGCGCGCCGTCCTCCTGATCTCAAAAGGCGCGGAAGGCCTGCGCAGCAGCCCAGAGGGTTTCTGAGAGGCCTCGCCGCCTTCTGAGAAGGCCTGCCCCTTCTCACTTCTCTCGGGGCGCGCCGCCGACTGGCACGCCCGAGACGGACACGGGACAAAAACGGGCACGATGCCCAACAGCAAATGCTGTCCCCAAACCAATCGGCGGCCGCTGTCGCGCTGGCGACCGTCTGCCTCGGATGGCCCACATCCGCATCCGCGACGACACCGGCAGCGAGCCCTGCTCGGCATGGACAGGAACTGCTCCCCCTCCCCCTCCTCCTCCTCCTCCTCCTCCTCCTCCTCCTCCTCCTCCTCCTCCTCTCCTCTTCACTTCCTCCTCTCCTCTTCCACTTCCTCCCTCATACTCCTCCTCCCCTTCTCTCCTCCCTCCTCCTCTCTCCTCCTCCTCCGCCTCCTCCTCCTCCTCTCCCCTCCTCCTCCTCCTCCTCCTCCCCCCATTCTCCCCCCTCCTCCTCCTATCCTCCTCCTCCTCCTCTCCTCCTCCTCCTCCTCCTCCATCCTCCTCCTCCTCCTCCTCCACAATTACACAATATGAAAATACTCTCCCACTTTCCCTGATGGCGTCCCGAAGATATCCGACACCCCCCCGCGTACTGTTTTTTAACACACAGGATTCCCGGGAAACGGGTTTTCGCTTGCGTTTTTTTTCCCAAAATGCTGCTCTCGCTGAGGCGCCGGCCTCATTTCTGCTCCCGAATCGTTCCGAATCGTGCTCCCGCTGCAGCGTGGGCCTCATTTTCGGATCGGTGTTTGGCCTCCGTCGTTCAGGATGGCGTTCTCGCCCCAGCGCGGGCCTCTTTCTCGCGCGCCCATCCGCCCGCCACCACCGCGCCGCCGCACCACCAACCACCACCACCACCACCACACCACCACCACACCACCACCACCACCACCACCACCAGCACCAGCACCACACCAGCACCACCACCACCAGCACCACCAGCACCACCAGCACCAGCACCAGCACCCACCAGCACCAGCACCAGCACCACAACCACGCACACACGCACGCACGCACGCACGCACGTGCACCACCACCCACTACGCACGCGCGCGCGGAGCCACAGGTCCGCTACGACACGCGTCCGCGGATAGAGAAAATCAGCGCCATGGTAAGGGATGGGAGGGAGGGGTAGGACGTCAGATATGACGCGAGCGCACCTAGCTTGTCCTCCTCCCCCTTCCCCTCCTCCTCCTCCTCCTCCTCCTCGTCCTCCCTCTCCTCCCTCTCCTCCTCCTCCTGCTCCTCCTCCTGCTCCTCCTCCTCCTCCTGTCGGTCTTCGTCCCCGTCCTGCCCGTGCTCGGACTGGTCCCCCGACCTTCTCGCCCTCGGGGCGCCGGTCGCCGCCGCGCCGCCCGGCTGGACTCCCCCGGGTGTGTTCTCTCCACGCGCGCTGGCTGGCTTCACAGCGGGTCCCGGGACGGGGACTGGTGGCGGCGGTATGGGTGCCCCTTGCGATCGTGCCGAGTTGCTGCGGGAACGCCACGGCCTGAGGCGAAGGAGGAGGAGGAGGAGGAGGAGGAGGAGGAGGAGGAGGAGGAGGAGGAGGAGGAGGGGGAGGAGGAGGGGGAGGAGGAGGGGGAGGGGGAGGAGAAGGAGGAGGAGGAGGAGGAAGAGGAGGAGGAGGAGGGCGCTGGCGGGGGCGGGGCGCTCGAGGGGTCGGGCGGGGCGCGCTTGACTGCAGGGGCACTGGGACACACAAGTAAATAGGCACAACTAACAGGATTTCCCATATTTTGCCATGTTTTCTGGTTTTTTGCCTTCCCCCACACTCCCATATTTTCCCATCTTTTCTGGGAGTCGACGATTAATTGTGTCTGTGTCTTTTCCTCTCCTGAGTGACCTGGAACGGCCGGGGCCGAACCGGCTGCGGAGGGTTTTGACGACGCACATTGGATTTTTACGTTGGATCTTTAGGTTTGATCCTTCACTGGGCACTGGGCGTTCTATCGAATGCAAGTGTGCACTTGCTACCGTGCACTAGCGCCTTGAGCCTTTTGCGCTAAGCACTTACGGTTAACCGTGGTGGACGGGCAGGTGGGAGGAGAAGGGGGTGAGGGACTCCGCATCCGTGGGGTGGCCTGTGCGCAGAGGGGGCGGACCCCACGATGGACGGATGGATGCTGCGCAACGTGCGAGCTGAGGCGACGATGTCAACTAGCTTTGGCCTCGGAGTATCGTGCACTTTGGGCTGAGGGTCTCGCGCTGCTTATCCTCCAAATCCTTTTCTGCTGTCCTCGTCCCGCCAGTCCTACCGCGCCTGGCGGGTCCCAGCAAGCAGCGACCACCCCACAGAGGCCTGGCCGAGCTGATCTACTTGTGGCTTGTCCTCGCGCATCAGTGGATTCCATTGGTTGATCGGCTGCCAGATGCCTCCGGTCCGAAGGGGGTGCTCGTGAAACACAGCTGAAGTCAATGGAGCCGACAGGGTGCTCCTGGCAGAGTTCAAGGCTTCAGAGGGACAGGAAAATCGCACCCTTCGGCGACTTCGGGCACCGGCACAAAGCCGTTCGGCTTTGGCTGTCGAGGCCGTGGGAGGCGGCGCGAGGAGGCAGAGTAGGGCGGTAGCTGCAACCACTACGCAGGGGTGACACACTAACGTTAAATGGGACGCACAGAGACATACTAGTACTATATGTTCTCCTTGGAGGCGCGCGTCCGACCCGAACATATAGTATACCCATCTTGTAGTATATCCTTTCCCGAGCGGCGTGGCCAGCAAGCGCCCGCCGCGACGCATGTACTATAAGATTTCTCGGTGCGCGCGTCGCCCCTGGGGAGACGACGCGCATATCGGAGGTAAGGGGGTGAGATCGAAGTGGAACGGAGAGCCCCCCTACCGGGAAATCGGTTTCGGTTTCGTGTTCGTGCGTGCCGTGCGTGCGGGCGAGACGAAGCTGCGTGGGCGGGCGAGAAAGAAGTCTCCTGTAGCTGAGGCGCGGCCGGACCAAAAGTCTTCCTTCCGGCAACCGGTGCCCCGCGGTGTCCCGCCGGTGTCCCGCTCGGGGGCCGGTGGCGCGCGGTGTCCCGCCGGTGTCCCGCTGGTGTCCCGTCGGTGTCCCGATGATGATGATGATGATGATGATGATGATGATGATGATGATGATGATGATGAACATGAAAATGATGATGATGATGATGATGATGATGATGATGATGATGATTATGTTGATGATATTAACGATGATGATGATGATGATGGTGATGATGGTGATGATGATGGTGACCTGATGGTGATAATGATGATGTTGGCGATGCTGATGATGATGATGGTGATGGTGGTAATGATGATCGTGCCCCGATGATGATGATGATGATGTTGATAATGATGGTGCCTGGATGGTGATGATGCTGCTGCTGATGATGATGATCCTCATGATGTTGATGACGATCAAATGATTTGATGATGATGATGATGATGATGATGATGATGATGAACATGATGATGAACATGATGATGATGGTGCCCCGACGAGGATGGTGAGGTTAATGATGCGGCTGATGATGATGATGGTGATGAGGATGATGGTGTCCCGATGATGGTGATCATGATGATGATGACGATGGTGTCCCGATGATGATGATGATGCTGATGATGATGATGATGTTGATGATGCGGATGATGGTGAGGTGGTGATGAGGATGAGGTTGATGATGGTGGCCCAATGATGGTGATGATGATGCTGATGTTGATGATGTTGATGATGGTGTCCCGATGATGCTGATGATGATGGTGATGATGATGATGATGATGGTGACGATGCTGATGGCGTTCCGATGATGATGTTGATGATGATGATGTTGCTAAACGATGGGGTTAGATGATGATGATGATGATGATGATGGTGGTGGTGTTCCGATGATGATGTTGGTGTCCCGATGGTGATGATGGTGATAATGATGATGATGATGGTGACGATAATGGGGTCCCGATGATGATGATGATGATGGTGATGATGATCATGTTGATGATGCTGGTGATGAGGTGATGATGATGGTGCCCCGATGATGCTGATGATGCTGATGATGATGTTGATGACGTTGATAACGATGATGCTGCTGCTGATGATGATGATGACGTTGATTGTGAGATCGATTGTGATATCGATAGTGAGATCGATAGTTAGACCGGATGTGAGATCGATTGTGAGATCGATAGTGAGATCGATGGTGACATCGATTGTGAGATCGATTGTGAGATCGATCGAATGAAATAGATCGAGTGAGATCGATTGTGATATCGATCGGGTAAGATCGATCGAGCGAGACCGATAGTGAGATCGATAGTGAGACCGATCGAGTGAGAAGTTGGTTCCTCACCCCCTTCGAACCTCCTTATCACCCGAAGGGTGGTCATATAGGTAGTATAAGTATGTTGGGGTGACGCCGATTAAATGCTGGATCGCAGCGCGTGGCGCCCAACTGCGCCGGAAAACTCGTCGCCGAGCGGCGCGACGGATTGCTGGCGACTGCGATTGGGACGGGCCTCCCCCTGCAGCGCAGACCTGGGCCCGGGCGGTATCTTCCCGCCCTCGCGCCGCCTCCTCCTCCTCCTCCTCCTCCTCCTCCTCCTCCTCCTCCTTCTCCCCCTCCTCCTCCCCCTCCTCCTCCTCCTCCTCCCCCTCCTCCTCCTCTTCCTCCTCCTCCTCCTCGTCTTCCTATTCCTCTTCCTGTTCCTCTTCCTCTTCCTCCTCCTCCTCCTGGAGAGGGGCACCCGCCGCAGGCCCAGGCAGAGAGGCGCGATATTGTCTTCGCCCCTCCCCCGGGGGTGGCCCTACACAGCAGGCACACGGGATAAGAGACCTTGCCGTGGGATGTGCTGGGGAACATTCTTCGTCGGCCTTGGAGGGTCCCGCGGTGCACAGGGGCTTCTCTGGGTCCCTGGGGCCGTCGGGGGACCAAGATGCTTCCGTGGTGCACGTGGCCTGCCGGCAGCCCGAGCTCTTCTGGAGGTGCCGCCTGCCGGCGGGCGCCCGCCGGTGGCAGGGGGGGCCAGCGCAGGCGAGCCTGGGCCCTCGCTGCATGGACCCGCCACCCGCGCACCCGCCCCCGCCACCCGCGAGAGCCCGAGCCCCTCGCTGCATGCACGCGCCCGTGTCCCCGGAGAGCAGCGGGCCCTGCTCGAACGGCGGGCTCCTCGGCGTGGGCGCCTCCGACGGCAGGGCCGCGCCGCGGCGCGGCGCCCCCGGGCGCGCGCCGCTGGCGCTCAGCGGCTGCGGGGCGGCCGAGGGGCGGCGGCCTCGGCCGCCGGCGGGGGCGAAGGCTCAGCCCCATGCTCCGAAGAAGGCAGAACGGCGCGAGCACAAACTTTCGGAATACAATCGGGGCGTTGACCTAAGGAACCCCAAATAAGGAACGGGGCCCCTTTTATCCATGAGCTAAACTTCGAATTCCCATCGAAAACAGAAGGAAGACCTGAGGCAAGCTGCGAAACACTTAAGGAACACGGAGCCCCTCCCCAACGAAAAGGGTTCCTTCTTCAGGGCCCCGACTGTACCGCGCGGACACTTTGGATCGGGGCTGGACGCCGCCCCGGCGGGGCCTGGCACGGGTGCGAGGACTGGCTCCGCGCGGAGCCCCGAGAGTTCATGCTTGTGCCGTTGTTGCTTCTTTGGGATGGTCGACCTGGAAAGGGTGGGGGCTGGCCCAGTGGCGGGCCCACTCCCAGAAGTTGCCGTCCTGCTCGCTGCGGCGGGGCTGCGGGTTGGCGGCGGAGCGCAGGTGGTTCGGCCTGTAGCTAGCTGGCCTGATGTTGCGGGCAGCCGCGTACGCAGGCTCGTCCTCCTGCCAGGCGACGTGGTGCTCCACCAGCGGCTCCTCTCTGTCCTCCAGCTCCTGGCGGTACCGGTAGTACAGGAAGCCACCCACAAGACAGGCGGCACATAGCAACACTGCGATGAAGCCGCCACCAGCCGCGAACAACAGCGCTCTGCCCGTGCCGAAGAATCCTGATTCGTCGTCGTCGTCGCCGCCGCCGCTATCAGCGCTGGAAAGACACTCCTCCACGACGACCCACCTCGCGCCATCGCATTGGGCCGTCGTGGTGAGCGTGCTGCCTGCTGCGCAGAAAGCAACGCACGTATAATTCCGCGTGAGGGCCAATCCAGTTTCATTATCAGTGCTAGTGTCCAGGCCCCAAGAACAATTCCACCTCGCCCGCCAGTACGGGCTGTGCAGCATCGCTGTGTCGCAAGCCCACGAGCTCGTGGTGGTTGTGGTGGTCTTCGTCGTCGACGTAGTGGTCGGCGTCCTGGTGGTGGTGGTCGTCGTCGTCGGGAGCAAAAACTCCACCCAGACCGCCGTGTATGCCATGCTGGAGATGCCGATCGAGGCCTGGCACGTCACGCCTCCACCGGACTCGTTGGCAGAACCCACAAAGGCTGTTCCGTCGGCGGTCCACTCCGCACCGCTCTCGTTGAACCAAGCGCATACGGGATCCCAGCCATAGCCCTCCTCGGCAACGCCTGGGATGGCCGCCATGGTCAGCGTCAACTCGAGCGGCGAGTCGCCGCTCAGCGTGGTGACCAAGCGGCGCTCGCCGTCCTTCACATACTCGACTGGCTCCCCGCACGCCTGCATGGAAAGAATCTTGACGGAAGCGTTCGCGTGCACATACCCGTTCAACGGGCCCTTCTACAGGAACAAAAGCGGCGTAAACATTAACTCTCGGAAGTCCGCGCGGATTTCTTGGATCGGCGCTGGACCCCTCCTCTCTGGCGCGCGGAGCGCGCCAGCGAGGCTCAGCGCACATCCAAGAAATCCAAGCGGACCTCCAAAAATTTATGCTCATGCCGCTTTCTCTTCCTCAACCTTCGACAGGGGCAACTCTTGGCCCCTTGCCGGGTCCGCGTACGAGTGCGGGTTGGTCCCGCTCCACTTGGTCTGCTGGATGTGGATGTCTTGGCACGGGCTCGACGAGAGCCGCCGGGTCTGCCGCCCCCACGAGAGGCCCGACACGCCCACGCCGTCTACCGATATGGAAGCCAGCTTGGCCAACATCATTTGAGCCCCGACACCGTCGGCGTCCGTCCCATCGAGCGTCTGCTCTGTGCCAGCGATCATCGCGCTGGCGGCCGCCGTCCCGAGCTGGCTCGTCACGCTGAGCAGCTTCGTCGTGAGCATCTGCTGCTCACCAAATGACCTAGTAACTGTCCTCGAGGATCGCGCCCCGGAGGAAACATCAGAGCTTGCAGCGTTGAGCGAGGATAGGCTGCTAAGCATCGCGCTGCCGCCGGCGCTATCGATGCCGCTGCCAGAAGTGAGAGCGACGCTAAGGGCCGACTCCATGACAGTGTGGACGTCGAGGAGGTTGTCCGTGCTCATGGCGCCGCTGCCAGCGGATACCATGGAGCTGATGGTCGAGCCGAGCTGGGACACGCTGGATCGAGGAAGAAAACACGAATAAACATGAACTGTTGGAGATCCGCGCGGCTTTCTCGGAACGGCGCTGCACCCTGGCGCGCGCAGCGCGCCAGGGGCGGCGCTGAAGCGCCACCAGGGGGCCCAACGCCGATCTACGAAATCCACGCGGAGCTCCGGAAGTTTATGGTTACGCTGTTTTTTGTCCCTCGACTGGAGGAGTCGGGCTGGAAAATGCCAACAACGAACGTGAGTGCGTTCAAGGACTCCTGCATGGTCAGGCTTCGGGTTGCGCAGAGACGGCCCCGCTAGGTAGTCCCAGCTGGCCTCAACAGGCCCCCCGAATAGTCCAGGGCGGTCTCAAGACCCCAACCCCGGGGCGCAGCGGCGTCGCTGGAGGCGGCGGAGACTACCCCGGACTACTCGGTGGGGGCCTGTTGAGGCCCGCTGGGACTACCTGAGGGGACTCTTGAGGCTGCAGCACAGGTGCTAGGAGAAGGAGCGCCAAACAAGGAACGAAGCCCCTTTGTGGCCCCAGAAGCGCCTACATCCCTCCGCGAAGCTGAACGGGCGGAGGGACGGAGGAGAAGGAGGAGGAGGAGGAGGAGGAGGAGGAGGAGCAGGAGGAGGAGGAGGAGGAGGAGAGGAGGAGGGGGAGGAGAAGGGGGAGGAGGAGGAGGGGGAGGAGGAGGGGGGCGAGGAGGGGGAGGAGGAGAGGAGGAGGAGGAGGAGGAGGAGGAGGAGGAGGAGGAGGAGGAGGAGGAGGAGGAGGAGGAGGAGGAGGAGGAGAGGAGGAGGAGGAGAGAGGAGGAGGAGGAGGAGGAGGAGGAGGAGGAGGAGGAGGAGGAGGAGAAGAGGAGGAGGAGGAGGAGGAGGAGGAGAGAGGAGGAGGGAGGAGGAGAGGGAGGAGGAGGGAGGATCCCCGAATTTCAATGTTGATGCCGAAACACGCGACTTCAGCTTGTCTGACGGCGCCCGCGCACCGCGCCGCGCGCGCAACTGAACATTGGAATTGGGGGCGAGGGGGGGGTCGGCAAACATTGCGTGAAGTTTCGCGGAGGGTTGTAGGTACACGAGGAGGGCTAGAGGCACAACCACGGCAGAACCCCAGGAACATCGGGGGCGTCCAAGAGGGGGGTGTCCAAGAGGGGGGGGGGGGGGGGGGGGGCAAATCGTGACGGGCGGCATGTGCGCGGACCAGGGGGGAGGCAGGGAACGCATTGAAACAATAAGAGGAGACATGGAATATGGGGAGACATCATGGCCCCCGCCATGCTATCCCCCCTGCGCGGACCAGGGGGGGGCAGGGAACGTATTGAAACAATAACAGGAGACATGACATATGGGGAGACATCATGGCCCCCGCCGTGATATCCCCCCCCCCCCTTAGTCATCACCCCCCTCTTGGCCGCCTCCGAGAACAGCGGGCCCCTTCCGAACCCGACGCGGCCCTTCTTCCCGCGCCCTGGCTGTGGCCGGGACCACCTGCGGGGCGCCCGCCGCCCGTGCGCCGCTTCCCCCCCCCCCCCCCCCCATCCTCCTCCTCTCCTCCTCCTCCTCCTCCTCCTCCTCCTCCTCCTCCTCCTCCTCCTCCTCCTCCTCCTCCTCCTCCTCCTCCTCCTCCTGCCGCCCGAAGAGCCTTTTACCGAGACTCCTGCACCGCAGCCCGCCTCAGCGCCTCGTCTTCTCCGGAGGCCACAGCCGCGGTCACCGCGGACAGCGTGTTCAGGACCGCGCCCGGACTGTTCGAGGCCCGGGCGGCGTCGAACGCAGACGAGACATCGCCGAGGGTCAGCGCCTCCTCCGGGAGAGATCACGGCAGAAGCAAAAACTCTCGGGGCTCCGCGCGGATTTCTCGGATCGGTGCTGAGCCCCCCTGGCGGCGCCTCCAGCGCCGATCCAGAGAACCCCGCCTGGACCTCATAAACATATATATATATATATATATATATGTATACCTACAGTTTGTGTATATCTATATGTGTGATGTTTCTGTTATTGCTCTATCCTCTGAGACGGCGACTTCGACGCCGGGCAATGAAGCTGTACCGATCGCACCCATACTGTCCCTGGCCCTCACCAAGAAGAAGAACGTGCCTGTTGGCAGGATGATGTCCGTGAGTGTTGGCGAGGCATCGAAGTCTCTCAGGAGTGCCCCTCCCAGCTTCGACCAATACGCTGGGCTGAGAGGGTCGTCCCACTCGATGAGCGGCATCGCCCAGGCCTCTGTCAGCTCCGACTGCGGGAACCGGTACATCGCGTACTCGAGCGACGAAGGTTCCTCGTCTTGGAATCGACTGGGGTGTGTGCGCCGCTCGATGGTCGAGCCGCGTCCAGCCGTGGCGACGATGGGGTCCCTTTCTCCCATTGTCTGGCTGGAACCAATGCTGGGCCACCTCAGCCCCCCAGCCGGCTCCAATCCTCGTCGGTCCACGCGAGCGTGGAGATGGCGAAGGAGGTTACGACCGAGAAGCCCGATGAAGGGCTCGCAGACACGATGCCTCGAGGAAGAAACACATAAACACAAACGTTCGGATGTCCGCGCGGACTTCTGAGATCGGAAGAGATGGGCGCGCACATCCTAGAGTTGATGTGAGTGCAGTTGCGTGCTTATTGGGTGTGTGTGTGTCTTCCTTCGTTCTCCGAATATTCTAACAATTATGTTTAATAGTACGTTGTGTTGTTCGTATTCGTTGTTACTACTATTATTCGTAGTTGTATGATGCGTATTGGCATGATTGATACTATTGTTGCCGATTTTCTAGTGTTACTAATCGTATTGAGAATAATAATACTAATACTCGTAATAATGCTGAGAATATTCTATGATTGCGCATATTCATACTATTACCAAGATTACAACTCGTGCTCTTATTCGTCCAAGCCTTCTGCTTATGCAGCCTTCTGTTCTTCGGGATGCCTGGAGCTGGCGTGCCGTCGGCCACGAAGGAGCCCGAGAACGTGGCGAACATGCCCCTGGCCTCGCAGGCCGAGACCGTGCCCAGCCCGCTCAGGTCCGGCGCCTCGCCGGGCGCCAGGGCCTGCGAGGGGGCAACGTCGGGTGGGGGGGGCGTGCGGCTCTCTGGGAGGGAGCTCCGAGCTGGAACTCGGCGGCCCGCGCGGGCGAGAAGCGAGGAGGCGCTGGCCTTCCCAGGAGGCTCGGAGGCCCCGGGGCCTTCCGAGAGGTCGTCTCTAAGCCTTCCCCGAAGACGCCGAGAGCCTCCCAGAAGGCCAGAGGCCTCCCGAGAAGCCCCGCCGCCCTGGGAGCTCTCGCCCCGAGGGCTTCGAGGCGAGGGGGGCGAAGGGGGGAGGGCGAGGAGGCCGAGAGCGTGGCGAGGGCGGGGCGGGGGCGGGGCGAGGAGGGAGGCACGGGGGGAGGCGAGGGCGGGGAGGGCGGGGCGGCTTCGAGCTGGAGTGGGCGACGCCTCGCCGGCAGATCGGCGCAAGGCCCCCGACGGCGAAGCCACGCGGCCCTGGGTGGGGTGGGCCTCTCGGGCCCCCGTCGGCAGCGCGTGGTCGATCGGGGGCATCTGCATCCATCCCTGAGCCCATCCCCCCCCCCTGACGATGCCCCTGAGCCTGAGGCAGCACGAGGAGCACGAGGGCGTACTGGCGGCCTGCCGTCAGCTGGCCGCGGATGCCGTCCTGGAGAAAGAAGGAACTGCATCAGCAGAAACCTTCGGCGCTCCGCGCGGATTTCTCCATCGGCGCTAGGTCCCCCTCCCTGGCGCGTGGAGCGCGCCAGGGGCGGCGCCGGAGGCGCCGCCAGGGGGGGCTCGGCGGCGATGCAAGAAATCCACGCGGAGCTCCGAAAGTTTATGTGATGTATGTGGCTTGTCTTCTCCGAGGATGCCGTCCGCCGTCGTCGTCGCCAGCAGGTCGAACGACGTCGCCGGCACGGTCGAGGCCACCTCCTGGACCTGCGTATCCAGCAGCAGCTCCACCGCCCACTCCCGGGCGGCCCCGCCGGTGTTGGAGGCGTTGGGCCCAGGGGTGGCCACCACGGAGGAGTTCCACGCCGGGGAGGCCAGGGCCCACGCGAACAGCCAAGACGCTGCCACGGGGCAGCCCGGACTGGCCTGCAGAGTGGCGGTGGCTGAGGAGAAGTCCCCGACCTGCACTGAGACCCTGTCCATGTCCGCCCACGGCGTGGTTATCTCGACGGGAGGCGGCCCGGCCTGGCCCACCACCACGGTGTGGACCGTGGTGCCCGAGATGCCGGTCGCGCGGCCTACCGTCAGCGAGAACTCGTAAGTGCCTGGCGGCAGGACGCCCCCTTCGATGCGCAGGAGCTCCCCAGAGGCACCAGTGCCGTTGGTGAGCGCGGCGCCATTGGCGGCGTCAAGATTGGCGACAGCGTCGCAGTCGGTGCTGCCGTCGCCGTCTGAGACGGCCATGCACGACCACGTGTATGTGAGAACCGGCGTCTGGTAGTCCGTGGTCTCGCCAGCGCAATCGCAGCCAGTGCAGAACCAATGGTAGGTTTCCTGCAGGTACGCGCACGTGACGCCGAAGCCGTCCGCGGCGAGCTCGGCGATGGCGGCGTCACAGTCTGCGTAGCCCAGGCCGCTGTAGTCGTACACGCAGGACGTCAGCGGCTCCGCGCCGAGATCGTAGGAGCCCGAGCCGCTCAGGGTGAACGCGCACGAAGACGTCGCTGTTGTCGGTCCCGAGACGACGGCGACGGGGGGCGGAGGGGGCCTGGTCCGCAACTGGAAGACCACCTCGGGCAGCGCCACCGTCGAGGGAGTGTCCTCGAACGCGGCGGTCACGCGGACCGAGTAGTTGGCCTCCGAGGCGAAGGTGAATGGCGCGAAGCTCACCACGTTTGGCGAACGGGCCAGGTCGCTCGGCCCCGACGCATCGCCCAGCGGAATCCACGAGAGGTTGCCACGGAAGCCGCAGATCTCCCAGCTCAGCACCACTGGAGGTGGGCGGGCGGACGCCACGCCTGTCGGGCGGCGCGTGCGAGGTGGGTGGCGAGGGGGGGCGGGGGGGCTTCTGAGAGGGCGGCGTGCTTCTCCGAGGTTGGGGGCACTCCGAAGAGGGCCGGGAGGCTCTCAAGAAGGCCGCGCAGAGCGTCGCCCGACTCGCCCTGCCCCACCTTTCAGAGGAACCACAGAACATGGCATGCGCGTAAGCTTCCGGGGGTCCGCGCGGAGCTCCGAACGTTATCCGTGCGCACTGTTCGGATGTTGAGTTTCTCGCCCCTTCGCGCCGCCAAGCTTGGGACACACACAAATAACTAGACACGAATAACAGGATGTCCAATATGTCCCTGTATTTTCGGGGTTTTGTCTTCCCCCCCACTTCCCATATTTCCCTATATTTTCTGGGGAATCGACAATTGATTGTGTCTGTGTGTTTTTCCCCGCCTGAAGCCTGTGCAGACCGAGGGCGACACGAAGCCTGTCGACACGGACAGCGTCAGCTCTGCCTCGGTGCCCAGTGCCAGCGCCGTGGGCACGTCGGGCGTCAGCGTCGGCAGCGGCTCCGCCTCCCAGAGCAGCTCTACGGCGGCCGACGCCGACGACGTGGACCCCAGCCAGCTGGTAGCCTCGACCACCAGCTCCTGGGGGGCAACGACACGGGGTGGACAAGCTCAGGGGGGGAAACCTCGACCTGGAACCGGCGGCACATTGCCGATCGATCGGCGATACGCCCCCGACAGCGAACCCCCGACGCTGCTGGGCGGGGTGGGCCATTGGGCCCCGATCGGCGCCCAGTGGGCAACAGAGGGTCGATGCTCGGCGGCGAGCGGGGGGGAGGACATGAGATGAGAAGGCCTTCTCAGAAGGTGGCGGGGCTTCGCAGAAGCCTCGGCGCCTTCTGAAAAGTTTCGTGTGTCTTTGGGCAACGCTTAGAACACCTCTCAGAAGGCCAGGGGGCTTGCCAGCCTTCTGAGAAGGCCTTCTACTTCTCGCTTCCCCCCTGGGCTCGCCGCCGAGATGCGTCCCCACCCTCAGCCTACCCTCCCCTAACGTTGCCCCCGAGCTTCGGCGCGGTGCTTGAGTGCGGAACGTCTGCGCGCCTCGTCTTCTTCGTCGCCCCTGCGGGCGTCGTCAACGTGGTCGTGGTGCGCTCTGCTCTGCTCAGGGCCTGCCTCCCTTGGGCGGCGACCGCCGCCACCGACCCCACTGAGCCCCCCCGGCGCTGCCCCCCGAGCTCCAGGAACAGGGGCGAGCTCGACGCCCCGCCCGCTGCCTGCATCGCCGCCTGCGCGGCCGCGTAGAAGTCGACCGCGCCGAAGCGCACCAGCAGGCTCTGCGAGGCGTTCGCCGCCCGCAGGGCCGCGAGCAGGGGCGGCACCATCTCCTGCGGCGTCCGCGGCCCGAAGTGCCAGGCGACCCCGGGCGCCCGGCCGGCGGTCCCGGACGCGGTGCCGGAGAACACGAGGCCGCTGCAGGGCTGGGCGGCCCGGGGCAGGGGCGAGAGCGCCGCCTGCACCGAGACGGCGGCCTCGGCGGAGCTCACGAGTGCCGTGAAGCCCTCCGAGACGGCTGCGCCTGTGGGATCCAGCAGGAGCTGCGGGGTGCGCCGGACACTCTCGGAGCTCCGCGCGGCTTTCTGGGATCGGCGCCGGACGCCGGACCCCCGTCTCTCTGGCGCGGGGGGCGCGCCAGGGGGCGGCGCCAGAGGCGCTGCCAGGGGGGCCTGCCGCCGATCCAAGACAGCCGCGCGGAGCTCCGAAATCTCATGCTCATGCGATGCGTCGGATTCGCGTTGCTCTTCGCGGCAAGTCCAGCCGTGGAGGCGAGAGCCTCTCATGGGGCCCAGAGGAGCGAAAACAGGACGCGAAACGAGAGGCGACCGCCGTGGCGGACAGCGCCCGGGCCTGCTCAAGACTGGGTGGGCGAGGCCGTGGCCTCGGGAATCTGGCGTGTCTGGACAACGTGCAATGCGAGACAACTGCGCAGAACTAAGATCAGGAGGAGGAGGGAGGAGCGAGGGAGGGAGGGGGAGGAGGGAGGGAGGAGCGAGGAGGGAGGCAGGGAGGGAGGGAGCGAGGGAGGGAGGGAGGGAGGAGGGAGCGAGGGAGGGAGGGAGGGAGGAGGGAGGGAGCGGCGTCGACACCCTTTCCTCCTCGGAGCCTTTGCCCAGACGCGTCAACGGCCGCGTCGAGACACGGTCTCCGAGCAGCACCGTGGCAGACGCCCCCAATACTGCGCGGAAGATGGTGCGGTCGCCGTTGAAGCTGCACTCCGTGGGCCGCCCGAGGGCCTGGAAGGACTCCGCGACGAACATGCTCTCGCAGTCCGAGGACGCCGGGATGGGAAACACCACGCCGGCGTTGAATCTCATCACGAAGGTCCGCCACCATGCCCAAAGGCATGAGTACGAGCGTCCTCGGGTCCCATCAGTCTTCCGTCCCGGGTCCTGAGGATTGAATGAGAGGCACCTCAGAAGCCCCAGGGGGCCCCAAGAAGCCCAAATCAGGCCCTAAGAGGCCCCCGAGAGGCTCCCGGCACCCCAAGGCCGCCTCAGCGATGCTTCCAAGAGGCTCCCGAAGAGATCCCCACCGGCAACCAAGAGGCATCTGACCTGCAGCCATGGCACGGTGGCGGGATGGGCCGGCGGCCACTGGATGCTAAAAGCCCAGGTGAGCTCCGCCTCCAGCAGCTGCAGAGGATCGACCGTCGTCGTCGCTGTCGTCTCAGAGGTGGCCGTCAGTTTCGTCGTGCTCGAGAGGCTAGACGTCGTGGCGGTGCTTGTCTCGGTCTTCGTGATGAGCAGCGTGCTCACGGCTTCGAATCCGATAATCTCGAGGGACGAGGCTGCATCGCTGCTCAGACCCGCCACCAAAATTAGCTGCTCTGCCAGCTCGGCCTGGAGAGCAGCGGTGTTGGCCGCCAGCTCGGATGAGCTTACCACCACCGCTTCCATGACTGTCTTGTACAGCTCAGCGGCATATTCCACTGTCCAAGCAATGCTTGCGGCCGCTGTGCCACTGCTCAACTTTCTTGTCGCGGGGTAGTTGTAAGACGTGCTCACAATGTACAATGCATTAGCAATCTGGTCCCGAGCTGCCTCGGTCCCCAGGACTACGGATAGGGCACTCATAGTCGCCGATTCCACCTGGGCGACGGTCAGTTTAGTTTCATTGCTAAGCTGGAACGTCACCGCTCCAAACACATGGTAGATATTTTCAGTGGTTGTTGTGGTGGTGGATGTGGTGGTAGTGGTCGTTGTCGAGATGGTCGTTGACGAGGTGGAGCTAGTAGTGAAGCTGGAGGTGGAAGTTTGGGAGTTCGTGGTCGAGACAGTCATTGTCGAAGTGATGCTCGTGCTGATGGTCATGGTAGAGGTGTCAGTAGCGGTGACGGTCGAATTCTTTGAGAATGTGGTCGCTGTGGTAGTGAGGCTGGTAGGGGCTGTCGCGTCACTGGTGCTGCTTACTGTGGTACTGGTCAAGGTGCTCGTGACACTGGAGCTGGTGAGCGTCGTCGTCGAACTGCTCTCCGTGGTGCTGCTCTCAGTGGTGCTGGTAAGTGTCACGGTCGTGGTGTGCGGAGAAGTGCTGCCGGTCTCCGTGGTGTTGCTGGCCGTGGTCGGGGTAACTGTTGTGGAAGTGGCTGACGTCGCCGTGGTGGTATAGGGCGTTGCTGTCGCAGTGAGGGTGATACTGCTGGTGTTCGTCAGGGTCGGCAGCGGCTCCGTCGCGGTGCTGGTGCCAGTCGTAGTGTCTGTGTGCGTGGTGATGTGGGTCTCGCTCGAGCTCATGGTGCTACCGCTGGTGCTGGAGCTCGTGCCAGTCATGGAGCTCAACGTGGCGGTTCCTGTGGTGCCAGTCGCGCTGGTCAAAGTGACGCTGCTGGTCTCGCTGGTGCTGCCGCGCGTGGTGCTCGTGGTCCGAGTAATGCTGCTGTCGGTGGTGCTGATGGTCCCCGTCGTGGGAACGGGCGTGGGCGCGGGCGTGGGCACGGTGCCACTCATCGAACTACCAGTCACGGTGACGCTGCTGGTCTCAGTGGTGCTTCTGAGCGTGGTGCTGCTGGTCTCGGTCGATACGCCGATGCTTGTGCCGCTGCTGCCACTCGTGCTGCTCGCAGTCGTGCTGCTGGTCGGAGTAGCGCTGCTGCGCGTGATGGTGCTGGTCACGGTGACGCTGCTGGTCTGGCTAGTGCTGCTTCGCGTGATGCTGCTAGTCTCAGTCTTGCTGCTTACAGCGGTGCTGCCAGCCGCGGTGATACTGCTACGCGTGATGCTGCTGGTCGCACTGGTGCTGCTCGCCGACGTGCTGATCACGGTGGCGCTACTGGTATGGCTGGTGCTGCTGTGCGTGATGCTGCTAGTCCCTGTAGTGGGCGCGGGCGTCGGCGCGGGCGTGGGCATTGGCGTGGGCGCTGGTGTGGGCATAGGTGTCGGCGCGGGCGTGGGCGCGGGCGTAGGGGCGGGGGTAGGCATTGGGGTGGGCACGGGCGTTGGCGCCAGAGTGGGCGCGGGCGTCGGCGCGGGCGTTGGCACAAGCGTGGGTGCGGCTGTAGGCGCGGGCGTGGGCACAGGCGTGGGTGCGGGCGTAGGCGCAGGCGTGGGCACAGGCGTGGGTGCGGCTGTAGGCGCGGGCGTGGGCACAGGCGTGGGTGCGGGAGTAGGCGCAGGCGTGGGCACAGGCGTGGGTGCGGCTGTAGGCGCGGGCGTGGGCACAGACGTGGGTGTGGGCGTAGGCGCGGGCGTGGGCACAGCCGTCGGTGCGGGTGCGGGCGCCGACGTGGGCGCGGGCGTGGGCAAAGGCGTCGGAGCGGACGTGGGCGCGGGCGTGGGGACAGGCGTCGGTGCAGGAGTAGGCGCGGGCGTGGGCACAGGCGTGGGTGCGGGAGTAGGCGCAGGCGTGGGCACAGGCGTGGGTGCGGCTGTAGGCGCGGGCGTGGGCACAGACGTGGGTGTGGGCGTAGGCGCGGGCGTGGGCACAGCCGTCGGTGCGGGTGTGGGCGCCGACGTGGGCGCGGGCGTGGGCAAAGGCGTCGGAGCGGACGTGGGCGCGGGCGTGGGGACAGGCGTCGGTGCAGGAGTAGGCGCGGGCGTGGGCGAGCAGGTCACGCCTGTGATTGTCACCGTGCCAGCGCACGTTCCCCCCCAACCGCACGTACTCCACCAAGTGCTGTCTTGCGAGGGGAGGCATGGGCCGCCGTACGACGCATCCGCGCAGCCCGAGCTGGGGCACGAGAGCTCGGACGCACCGCTCACCGCACCCGACGCGCACGCCGCCGTGCAGGTCTCGCCCTGCAGGAGAGAGGACCCGCCCCCGTCGCACTGCACGCTGCTCTCGAAGCCGCACCCGATCGTAGAGCCCGTCCAGCCCCATGCCGCCCGCGACGCTGGCAGGCGCAGCCAAGGCACGTGGACCACCAGAGCGCCCAGCACGGCGGGCGCCGCGCTCCGCTGCCGCTGGTGTCCGGCCATCGCGGCGGCGCGAAGGGGCAGGCTGCCCGAAGAGCCTGAGCTGGCATGGCTTGAGCCCGAATGGCTACGGGCGCTGCCTGCGACTTAGGATTTTCCGCGCCACTGTCTACCTGCATTCGGCCGAGTTGGCTTGTCGCTGACACGGGGGTCCATGGCCCTCTGCGGTCTGCACTTGGCATCGAGCTCTGGCGACTCTGGTGCAACTACTTGTCTGGTGGAGGCGCCTGAGGGGGTCTGCTCTTTATGGGTACCAGCAAAGCCAGCCAGGAGGAGAAAGGGTGGCCAATTCGGCATCCAATCCCCATCTGGAGAAGGCGGCTCAGTGGGCAAATAACGAAACCTGTGTACCATGATACCTCTCCCCCGTAACGGCTGGAACCAGTGATGTCCCACCTCAGGCCCCCAGCCGGCTCCGACTCGTCTGCTCTGTCGGCAGCCTGCTACTAACACGCAAGTGCCCTCTCGCCACGTCAAGCATAGAAACAATGTTTGAGGAAACAAGTTTGCCGGGCACCTCCACACGGCGTCCCGCGACGCCTCCCTCCGGCGGGAGGGCTCGGGGAAGTCGGCGGAACAGGTGTCGAGAATTGGGAACTTGGGCCCCCAGCGAGACCTCAGTCGCGGTAAACCCCAGGGCCTCGGAGTGCTACCTCAAAACCTGGCTGCCACCCCCAGAATGCTTTCGGCGTGGAGCAGCTGCTTGAAAAAGCATCACGAGGCTGGAAATCCACCGAGAACCATTGAAGACATCCAGAAAGCTCGAACCCCAAACTTCCCCCCCATGACATATGCCAATGACGCGACGCACCCGAAGATTGCATCAAACGGTTCGAACACGGGACGGCCGTGGGGCTGATGAGAAGACGCGCGGCAATGAACGTTCGACGTCCGCAGCACTCGGGTCGGCGAGAGCTGGGACCGCGAGGGCCTTGGCAGAATAATCGACGTCGGCACAAACAAAAAGAAACCTTCGTAGGTCTGCGCGGACTTCTTGGATCGTCGCTAGACTCCCGTCCTGGCGCGCAAAAACACAGACTGTTGGAGCTCCACGCGGATTTCTCGGATGGGCACGGGGGGCCCCCTGGCGGCTCCTGTGGCGCCGCCTCTGGCGCGCTCCGCGCATCAGGGAGGGAGGTCCAGCGCCGATCCAACAAATCAGCTCGGACAGTATGTCTCTGCAAATGCGTCTTCTTCGTCTGACTCTTCTTTGATTTGGGGCCATTCAGGGCCCCGAGTCTGGCCGAAATCGCCGCGCCCCGCCAACACATCGACCACAGCACCCCCAACAGATGGTGGAACCGAGCAACTGTGTTGGCATCGCCCAGGCGCTGAGAGGGTGAGAGGATGGGGGGAGTCAAAAGAACAGGAGGAGGAGGAAGAGGAGGAGGAGGAAGAGGAGGAGGAGGAGGGGGGGAAGGAGGAGGAAGAGGAGGAGGAGGAGGGGGAGGAGGAGGAGGAGGAGGAGGAGGAGGAGGAGGAGGAGAGGAGGAGGAGGAGACGGAGGAGGAGGAGGTGTAGGAGTAGGAGTAGGAGGAGGAGGAGGAGGAGGAGGAGGAGGAGGAGGAGGAGGAGGAGGGAGGAGGAGGAGGAGGAGGAGGAGGAGATGGGGAGGAGGAGGAGGAAGAGGAGTAGGAGGAGGAGGAGGAGGAGAGGAGGAGGAGGAAGAGGAGAGGAGGAGGAGGAGGAGGAGGAGGAGGAGGAGGAGGAGGAGGAGGAGGAGGAGGGGAAGGAAGGAGGAGGAGGAGGACAGTTCGGATCACTGGCCCCTGGATCTCTCGACCCCCATCCAGCGGGCACAGTTGCTCGTCCTGGGCCGCCTTCTGACGGCCCAAGGAGTTAGTTGGGCATGTCCTCTTACAGCCCGATTTCCGCCGAAACATCAAAAAATGCACAACAACATGTTTTAAATAATCAAACAACACGCCCAATATCATCCCCAGACTATTGCTTGACTATTTTTAAAGATCCTCCAGGGGACACAGTGTTTCGTCCTGGGCCGCCTTTTGACGGCCCAACAGTAAGTCGGGAATGTCCTCTTACAGGCCGATTTCCGCCGAAACCTCAAAAATGCACGACAACATGTTTAAACTAATCAAGCAAGACGCCCAACATCATCCCCAGACTATTGTTGGACTATGCTTGAAGATCCTCCTGTAGAGGGGCAGGCCCGACTTGATCCAGGAGCTCGAAAACAGCCACCCGAGGCCGAATACGGTGAAGGCATTGGAAAACGAACCACTGGATAAGGAATCCGGGGTCTGGAAGCCCGTGGAACTCCAATCGTGGATTGACCATGGGTATCACCGACGCCCTCGTTGGATAAGGGATCCTCCAGGGTCTGAAGCCTCCTAGGCACTTTCCTTATCGAACGCTCCCATCGTTTGACAAAAGACTTCCGCCTTTATTGTGTTCAAGGCGCTGGACGTCTGAGCCCCTTCCCTTCAAAATCACGCCCCTTGGGCCTGTCCTAGGGGTCGCTCTGGCCAGAGTCCAGAGGCGAGTCCAGCCGAAGCAACGAAGGCGCCCCTGGTCGGATCGATGATCCGCACAACGCGTCGCAAAAGGGGTCAGCCCGTTCTTAGGCGCGGAGGCCCTTCAAATTCCCTGCCATGCGCCCCAGACCTTCTAAGAGGTGGGGGCCGTGTGGCAAGCGGCCCGCC